TATGCCCCACAGTATCTAAGCAGCTCTTGTGTTGCACCTGTCACCTTAATATCACAAAAGCATAGTGTCCCGTGAACCACAAAGGATCCCCCTGGCTGGGTCCTAGTTAAATCAGCCTGTTCAGTGACACCAGCCGTTTGTGAATAACATGTGGATGTTTGCAGAGGTGGAACCTGAGTCTGTTCTCATGTACACCTGTTTTACCCAGGGTTTAATTCCACTGATTTCAGCATTCACACCAGTGCAGAGACCTATGGTCTTTTCAGACTTTTTCATTCTATCCCCTTTCTCAGAACCTGCCAGAGCAAAGGGACAAGAGAGCTCAGGTTTGGCCAGATAAGGCAAGAGCCACTGGCCCTGTCCCTACAATACCCGCCCCCCCCTTATTTTTGCACTCAGAGAATGCAAGATGGATGTCAAAGAGGAGAAAAAGAAATCAGGCCAAATGGAGCAAGATACGAGAACCCTAGAGGAAAGCACAAGCCTTTCCACTGACAAATTCCTGAGCTAGGGCCTGATTCAAAGGACACGGAATCAGAGGTAAGATTCACAATGACTTCAGTGGGCTATGGATCAGGTCTCTCCAGAGCAACATATGCTAATATGAAACTACAGAGTACAAAGAAATGAGGCCATTGTAGATTGAAGTTATGATCATTATGAGAACAAACTGTCACATAAGCTTTTGGCTAAGCAATTATTATTAGGGAAATACAACCTAGATCGAGCTACTATAAGGTGGGTGCACAACTGGTTGAAAAACCGTTCCCAGAGAGTAATTTTCAGTAGTTTACAGTCATGCTGGAAGGGCATGATGAGTGGGGTCCCACAGGGTTCAGTTCTGGGTCAGGTTCTGTTCAATGTCTTCATCAATGATTTAGATGATGGCATAGAGAGCACACATAAAGTTTGCGGATGATACCAAGCTGGAAGGGGTTGCAAGTGCTCTGGAGGGTAGGATTAAAATTCAAAATGATCTGGACAAACTGGAGAAATGATCTGAAGTAAAAAGGTTGAAATTCAATAAGGACAAATGCAAAGTACTGCACTTAGGAAGGAACAATCAGTTGCACACATACAAAATGGGAAACGACTGCCTAGGAAGGAGTACTGCAGAAAGGGATCTGGCGGTCATAGTGGATCACAAGCTAAATATGAGTCAACAGGGTAACGCTGTTGCAAAAAAAGTGAACATCATTCTGGGACGTGTATTAGCAGGAGTGTTGTAATTAAGACACGAGAAGTAATTATTCCGCTCTATTCCACACTGATTAGGCCTCAACTGGAGTATTGTGTCCAGTTCTGTGAGCCACATTTAAGGAAAGATGTGGACAAATCCAGAGAAGAGCAACAAAAATGATTAAAGGTCTAGAAAGCACCGTCCTATGAGGAAAGATTGAAAAAATTGAGTTTGTTTAGTCTGGAGAAGAGAAGACTGATTGGGGACATGATAACAGTTTTAAAGTGCATAAAATGTAGTTACAAGGAGAAGGGAGAAAAATTGTTCTTAACCTCTGAGGATAGGACAAGAAGCAATGAGCTTAAATTGCAGCAAGGGAGGTTTAGGTTGGACATTAGGAAAAACTTCCTATCAGAGTGACTATCAATAAATTGCCTAGGGAGGTTGTGGAATCTTTATCATTGGAGATTTTAAAGAGCATGTTAGACAAACACCTGTCAGGGATGGTCTAGATAATACTTAGTCCTGCCATGAACGCAGGGGACTAGACTAGATGACCTCCCTTCCAGTCCTATGACTCTGTGATTATTATAATTTATTTGTATTTTTGTAGTACCTAGGAGTCCCAGTCATGGTCCATGACCCCACTGTGCTACAGAACAACAAGACAGTCCATTGTTTACCTGTTGTTACTAATCTTTGCATCTTAAATTCTGTGAACCCAGAGCAGGTTTCCAGTGATGGTAGATTTCTGGGAGGTGACAGTGCATAGGAGCAGTGCTGGGGTGTGGGAGGGGGTAGAAGTGAGCAGTGACCATTTATGGTGCCTGTGGAACAGGTTGGAAGACTCAGGAAGGTTAACTGTAGCAAGTACCAGTGTATGTCCTCTGACGATTAGCGTTCAGGTGGCACTAGTAAAAGGTACCAATGCAAAGCCTTGGAGAAGAGTTAGGGCAAAGCTACCACACAGAGGCATTGCAGTGCTCAGGGGACAGTGACCAGCTATTTGCTCACTCCTTGTGGGGGATGGCGTCCCTAGCCTCTGTTTGCTAGAAGCTGGGAATGGGCGACAGGGGATGGATCACTTGATAATTCCCTGTTCTGTTCATTCCCTCTGGGGCAGCTGGCATTGGCCACTGTCGGCCAACAGGACACTGGGCTAGATGGACCTTTGGTCTGACCCAATATGGCTGTTCTTATGTTCTTGGTCACTTTCCTTAGCTTTTCATTGAAGTTACAGAACCTGTTGGAATATAGCAAGGGATTCACCAGGCCTTTATACCAATGACCATGCCTTCTCCCCAAATGTTGATGAGAGCAATGCATAAACCATTTGCTTGAGGAACAGTAACCATCATATTTTTTCCCCGGTGCATGAGGTGAACCTCAAATCTTTGGGTCTAATTCTCATATTAAACCCACTGGACATTGGTTAGTTAGGAGGAAAGCACAGAGACAGATAAGAATGGTTTCTGAGAAGGAACCTTTAATGTTTCAGTCTTTTGTAATGAGACTCACAGCGGACATCTAGAGTTAATTAAATGCTTGCATCAGAAGTTCTGTCAAACTGATTCACACTGTCACACACGCAAACTCTATTGTGAACAACATGAAAGGGTCCCTTTATACTCCAGCTCCTGGAGAGATCTTACTAGGCCTGGATAGCAGCCTTAAATGGGAGGTAAATGAGGAAGGGGTTGGGAAGTTATGCAATACTCTTTCTCTTCAGTACAGTGTTCCCAGACTGGAAGTCTTTGCATCCCTTGACCCACTTCACTAATCAAAATTCAATCCACTCCTTGGCTTCTCTCCACTTAAATCAGTGGAATCTTACACCAGGGCAGACTTTGGCCCTGAATGTTCTGTTGCCTAAAAGCCTGAAATGTGGCTGACCACTGAGCTGGCTCAAACACATGTAGAGAGGGTCTCTGGGCAAAAGATAACTCAAATGTCATCAGTGGTAACTACCACCACCCCTTTTCCTGTCCAGCACCCAGGGCAGGACTCGTCTGGAGATTCGGAATGTGCACATTGAACCATAAGATCACCAGAGTGAAATGGAAACCCCATTTTTCTGCCCAGCTGTAGATGCCCATAATAAAAGGAAACAAACAAAGCAACAAAGAGAACCAACCATGCAGAATGGATGGAGGAAAGAGATACAGATTATTTATATGCTTCCATAAACATGTGAGGAAACTGCAGTGATGGATGCATCATAAAAATGTGATAGATAGATCTGCATTCATCCTAACAAATTCCTCTCTAATTTTCCAATTCTCACCAGCTGGTATAACCTTTTATTAGTGACTGGAGACAGGAAACAAATTAATAACATGTCTAGATTAGACAAGGCAGTATGCACCATGGACCATAAAGAAGTTTATTCTATCTTGCAACAGCCTGTACCACCCCAATGCTCCCATGCAAATCTCACAACTTCCATTCACGGAAGAGCACTATCAGGGATTGCAATACTGCAGTTCAGAGAAAGAGGAGAGTAAAGAAATCAGCAGGTAGGTTTTCCCAGATGAGGCCTGAGTACTTGGGGTTAAAGGAGCTCTAAGCTGCAGCCAGGAGACATCCTTGTGTAGGGTTTCCATCTGGAGGGGAGGGTGGTGGGGAATGAATACAAACAAATGTCACATCCTCAGTTCTCAAGGCTTGAATAATAGTCAGCCTTGACTGAAGTACTGAAGATAAAAAGGCAGCAATTTCGCTGAGTAACCGTGGCTACCAAGTATCCTCAGGAAGGCCTTTAATTTTGTCAGTTCATTTGTTTTCCCATTTCCATACAAACCCTCTCTCACACCCACAACCAAGTTATGTGTCAACATCACTATGCTACAAATGTGAGTCCTGTATTCCTGAAACCGACAAGGCCAGATGCCGGAGTCTAGGCCAACTGTGCTTAGGGCAGGACCTTGGGGGTGGGGTGGGGTTGAGCTGGGGGCTCTAATCCACCGTTTGGCTCCCCTGATCCTGGGGCCAGCCGCAGGCTGATTTGGTCTCTGGCAAAAGAGCAGGCAGAGTCCCGAGGGACTGTTCCATCAGTCGCTGATTGCCAGTGCCCAGTGTTTCCTGGTCACACCCCCACTCCCCGGGCGCCCAGGAACACCCTGTGATGAATTATGATCATTGCTATTAGGGTTGTGGATTATGGGAGGGCCCCGAACTTCAGTCAGGGATCCGCTCCCCGCCCCCCCTGTGACCAGCGCCCCGGGACTCAGAGCCTGGGAACGCCGCTCGCTGGCCCTCCCCGGCAACGCCCGCCCCCGCAGGCCGGATTAACAGCCCTGGTCCCCGGCAGGCTTTAATTTCCGCCGGGGGGGGGCAAGCACATACCAGGGGCTGGCGTGCTGGAGAGGAGCCTGCCCGAGCCCCGCAGGGGAACCCGCGGCACCCCGCTCCTAGCTGCACACACTCCCCCTGCGTGTGTGTACAAACACCCCCCCCCCCGCGGCTCCGCACCCCCCCCCACCCTGAGTGCGTCCGCTGCCCTTCCCCCGCGGCAAGCTGGTTCCCCACCACTGGCTCCGCACACACCGCTGCATGTGTCCCCCCCCCGCGTGCGTACACACCCCCCCTGCTTGCGTATACCTCCCCCCCCGGCTCCACACACAGACCCCGCTGGCTCCCCCCGCCCTGTCCCACGGAGCGCGTGTTCGCGCGTGGGCCCTGCCGCGGGGGGAGGGGGGGGAGCGCCGCCAGCTCCAGCGGGCAGGACCCCCCCCCCCCCCGCGCGCGCCGCCAGCCCGGCAATTAAACCGGGATTCCACCCCGCGGTGACGTCAGCGGCGGCGTAGCCCCGCCCGCGGTCTATAAAGCGGCCCGCGCCCCGCCGCCGCTCGCCAGCGCTCCGGACAGCTCCCGGGTGCTGAAGCCGAGGGCGAGCTCGGCGCGGGGCGAGCTCGGCGCCAGGCCCAGCCATGCCTGCAGGGGCCGCGTGCTGCCTTTTCCTCGCCTCCGTCCTCTGGCTGAGGGCGGGCGCCCAGAGCTTCGGCCAGACGCGCTTCGTCTGCACCTCGGTGCCGGTGGATACGGACCTGTGCGCCTCCTCCCTGCCCGCCAGCGGCACGGCCGAGGAGCTGCAGAGCGCCGTCCTGCAGCTCCGGGAGACCGTGCTCCAGCAAAAGGAGACCATCATGAACCACAAAGAGACCATCCGGGAGCTGACCACCAAACTGGGCCGGTGCGAGAGCCAGAGCCTGCCGGAGACAGGCCCCAGCGAGTCCAAAGCGGCCGGGGGAGCCAGCCGCAAACTGACCGGCTCGTCCAAAAACACCATGGGGGATCTGTCCCGGGCGCCCGCTGCTGAGACCTTGAGCCAGCTTGGGCAAACTTTGCAGTCACTTAAGACAAGGCTAGAAAACCTAGAGGTACTTTTACTTTCCGTTATTCCGTATAGTTAGAGGAAAGGGCGCGGGACGATCTTACCTATGACTCCACCTCGGCCACGTCCTTAGCTCCGCGGTAACCTGTCGTGGGGCGCCGCTGTTCTGTGTGAGGGGCAAATGCAGCAAGGTAAAGCACAGCCCAAACCTGACTACGGCAGCTGTGCTCGCTTTAGTTTAATTAGGCGAGGCCGCTTGTTTGGTGCGGGCTAAATGAATGTAGCTCTCAGCTAGCGAGCGCCGGAGCCAGTCCCGGGCAAATACCGCACGGTGTTAATTTGGTTTGTAACAACCCACTTATTATCTTTGCTCCCGCAGCAGTTTAGTAGGATCAATTCGTCAGGCCAAACCAACCACCTGAAGGACATACTCCAAACTAAAATCGATGACTTGGAGAAGCAAGTTCTGTCCAGAGTGAACAGCCTGGAGGAAGGAAAGTTAAATCCAAAGAATGAGTCCGAGGAAAGGAACAAAATAGAGAGCACGTTAACTTCCCTGCACCAGAGGATCAGTGACTTGGAGAAAGGTAAAGGCTCGGACTGCAGCTGACATGGTGGGGTTTAAATGCACCATCCCTAACACAAACCCTAGCGCCGGACGGGATGAAAACATCACCCCCTCGCCCATCCTCCCGGTTACCCCCCCCCATAGACGCCGGATTGAGGTTCCTCTTTCCGAACAGTGGCCCGTTTTTAAACCCCCTATCTATTGCTTTGTCCCTTGGCGGGACCTGGCGGCCGGGGGCGCGGGGTCCTGCTCTGCTCCCCGGGGTCCGGGAAGCTGTCTGTAAAGTCGGAAGCGCCCTGAGCCCGCCCTGTTGTGTCCTGGACCCTGCACATCTGCCCCAGGAAACCACGCAGCTGGCCCATTAGAAACCATTGCGCTTCCGATCCAACCGTGGCGGGCATTGGACGCGTGAGGTTCCCGCGCCCCTGCAGGGCTCTGCGCCAGGTGAGCTGGGGCGGGTTGGTGCGTGTGCGAGGCGCCCTCTGAGCAGGGTCTTCAGCAAGCTGCGGGCTTGCCCCGTCCCGGCTTGCTGCGCCTTGGGGCCCTGCCCGGAGCGTTGGTTCGGGCCGGTCCCTCTGGCTTTATGGGGAAATGGACGCGGGCTGTACTGGGGGGAGCGGGGACCCCCGTCCCCCGAGCGCGGGTCCTATGGCCCGCATGGAGCGCAGCAGCGGGCTGGCGGGGTTGGGACTGTGCCATCTTAGGCTCGTTACATAACTCGGGGGAAGGAAGATGCGGGTGATGGGGAGGAAACGAAGGGCTTGCGGAGTAGCCAAAGCCGGAGCCACTGGCGCCGCTAGCCTTGGTCCTGAACACAGGGCAGCCCCAGCCCCGCTGTCTCGCTCCAGGGCCCCGCTCCTGCTCCGCGCAGAGACCCCGCATTGCCCAGCCCCCCCCGCGGAGAGCAAACCGCTCCCCTTTCTCTCCGGGCAGGGCAGAAAGACAACCGGCCGACCGACAAGTTCCAGCTGACCTTCCCGCTGCGGACCAACTACATGTACGCCAAGGTGAAGAAGAGCCTGCCCGAGATGTACGCCTTCTCCGTGTGCATGTGGATCAAGTCCAACGCCTCGCCGGGGGTGGGGACGCCCTTCTCCTACGCGGTGCCCGGCCAGGCCAACGAGCTGGTGCTCATCGAGTGGGGCAACAACCCCATGGAGATCCTCATTAACGACAAGGTAGGCTGGACCCCCAGCCCCCGCAGAGCCCCGGGCTCTCCGCGCCGCCCCCCGCGCGTGGGGTCTCCGCCGCTCCCCTTGCACTGGTGAGAGTGACTGCCCGGGGCAGGCCGGTGCGGAGCCGGGCCCCACGAGGCCCAGGACAGACAAACCAAACCCCCTTTACCCATAGCACGGGATACGGCCCGCCCTAGCCCAAAGCTTGGGTCTCTTACAGCCGATGGAGTCCAGCGCCCCACCCAAGTCAGAGGTTGCAGAATGGGCCCGGTCCTGCGCTTCGCCATTGACCCTACTGGGAGCAGGGGCAGGTCCCAACGCGGCCCCCTCTCTCCGGACTATAGGGGTCCCTGCACCGCAGCAGACTCCGCTCAGTCCTTATTAACTCCGAGATGGGGGGAGGCTCGGGCCGATCTAGGGACCTCTCTGAGCTCGGCGGCCCCGGGGCTGCAGTAACCCCCCACCCCTTCTCTTCTCTTCCCCCCCCACCCCCCCAGGTCGCTAAGCTCCCGTTCGTCATTAACGATGGGAAGTGGCACCATATCTGCATCACCTGGACCACGCGGGACGGCGTGTGGGAGGCCTACCAGGACGGCACGCAGGGGGGCCACGGAGAGAACCTGGCTCCCTATCACCCCATCAAACCGCAGGGGGTCCTGGTCCTGGGCCAGGAGCAGGTAAGGTGCCGGCAGCAGGGGCCGGCTGCGCAGCCCCCCTAGAACAGAAGTGGGGGGCTGCCCTGGGGGGCCGCAGGGGAGGGGGCCGCAGGTCAGGGCTGGAAGACGGGGAGTGATCCAAGGGCGAGGAGGGAGATTCTCTCTCACACGCGCACCGCAGAGGAGATACACTCTCTCTCTCTCTCTCTCTCTCTCTCTCACACGCACACGAGATTACATTTCTCCCAGGCACAGACACGGTCCCTCCAGGGGCTGGAACTAGGGGTGCGGGGGATGCTGCAACACCCCCTGGCTTGAAGTAGTTTCCGTCAGATCCAGGGTTTACAGTTTGGTGCAAGGGCTCTCAGCTCCCCCACTGTACAAACTGTTCCAGCTCTTCTGCAGTGTCTCTCTCTCTCTCACACACACACACGGCCACACACACACACACGGCCACACACACACACTCACTGCCTGCCACCCGCACAGCCCCCTGGACGCCGGGCGCCCGGGCAGACTTTGCGGGTGGTTTGGGGCGGGGCGGGGGGGGCAGGGGCTGCTCCCCCGCTGCGAAGGCTGCGGGAACAGTGCGGCGCGGGGAGCTGCGGAAGGGGCCCGAGGAGGCGGCTGGTTCCCCCTGGGCGGGGCGGGGAGCCTGGCTCGGCGGGGGGCTCGCTCTGACGCCCGGGCCTGGGGAGAGCCAGGCTGCCCCGTGCCGGTTCCCCAGCGGGGAGCGGTGACCCGCCGCGGCTGGGCGCGGGGGCCCGGGGGCGACTCGGAGCCCGGCGCCGGCGGGCAGCAGGGGCGCGACGCCCGCTCCCGCGGGGGCCCCTGTGACCCGCGCTGTGATTTCTCCGAAGGACACCCTGGGCGGGGGGTTTGACGCCACCCAGGCCTTCGTGGGCGAGCTGGCCCATTTCAACGTCTGGGACCGGAAGCTCAGCCCCGGGGAGATCTACCACCTGGCCACGTGCAGCACCAAAGCCCCCGCCGGCAACGTCCTCGCCTGGTCGGAGACCACCATCGACGTCTACGGGGGGGCCACCAAGTGGACATTCGAAGCCTGCCGCCAGCTCAACTAGCGGCGGGTGGGCTGGAGCGCGGCCCCCCCCTCCTCCTCCCCCCGGGCATGAATTCAGGACTAAAGTCTCCCCCGCCCCGCGCCTGTCCCTGCAAAAGCAAACCCCGCCGAGCACCAGGGCACCGGCCTCGCCAGCGCGGGCGCGGCCGCTCCAAGCGCCCCGGGCAGCACCGAGCGCCGGCTGACCAGCCGGTGGGAGGGCTGGTTCCGGCGCCTTGGCCCTTTCCCTGGAGGGCGGCGCCCGCCCCCCGCTTCCAGCTCCCCCGAACCGGCTCATTTCTGTCTTGCCAACTTCCTTTGAAGCCTGCGTGCCTTGGGCGGGTGCAGCTCCCTCGCCCAGCTGTCTTCGTGCGCCTCCTCGCCAGTGGCTCTCCCGCAGCGGCTCCTTCCCGGGTGGCCAAGCGGAGGGCACGTCTACACTAGGTTGTGTGACCCGAGAACGGGGGGCCGCTGAGTTCTTGCCCCCACCGCTGAGCACCTTGGCAGAGGGCCAGAGCACTAGGCGGGTCTGACGTTGCTTAGGGGTGTGTGGGGCTGACTCCGGAGCCTCCGATCCCCGGTTACTTTTATTTTTTGGGGGGGGGAGGCGGCTCCTTTCGTCTTTCAGTGCCAGGGCGTGACTCCTGTCTACTTGGACTGGCTCTGCAGGAGCATCGGCGGAGGAAGAGCCTCCTCCTTCCCCCACTGGGCTAGGAAGCGGAGCCGCAAACCCGGGCAGAGCTCAGACCCCCTTTCCTCGCGGGGCAGGGGGACCTGCTTTGTTTCCAGGCGCCTCCGAGGCTCCTTCCTTCTCCAGTCTGACCCCCCTCCCCATTCAGCGTTCTTCGTCAGTAACAGCCCTGCCCCGGTGTCCAAGGAATGGGGGGTTGACGGCGGGTGGCCAGGAGAACCCCCCAGGGAGCCACGTAGGATCCTGCTCTGGCTCGGACTTGCTGAAGCCAGCGCATCCCGGGGGCCCTGCTGGGTTGCTGGCCTGTGATTTACAGTCAGCTCCGCTTAGGCCTCTTCCTCGGCCCGCAAGCGCCCGCCCCCAGGAGCCACAGACCCGACGGGCTCCGGGGGGGCTAAGAGGGAGGGGGCAAAGCAGGAGGTTCGAATCCTCTGGCCACGGCAGGGGCCCGAGTTCGGCTCAGGCGCTGGCAGGTGCCCGCTGGCAGCGGGGGCTTGAGCCTGGGCGCACAGGACGGGAAGGGATTTCCCTGCTAGAAGGGGGTAGGGGGCTGTGGGGAAAGGGACGGGGCACATCCCGCTGTGTCCCCGCTTCCTGCGGGGGTAAGTGGCCTCCGCGGTGCAGCTGCTCCCCCAAGCATCAGGCGCTTCTTCCCAGACAGGGAGCCTCCGGCCGGGGCCGCGCCGGGTCTCGCTGCTCAGCGGCCACCCCTCTCCAGCCGGGCGGGAGGCGGGTTCGCTCTCGCCCGGCTCTGAGCCCAGGGGCTCTTGTCCCAGAGAGGGCGGCTCGGGGAGCTGGCTTTGGCATTGCAGGGGGTGCTCACGTCTCGGTTCCCTAGCCTCGTCTGGCCTGCTGGGGGGGGGGGGGGGCTGCAGACTGGGGGCGGGGAGGGGGGAGGGTTGCCCGAGCGCTGTTCATGCTCTAGGATGGCCTGGGGGGCACGTTCCCAGCCGGAGGGTGGCCGAGGAGGCAGCGTTACCTTCAGCACCCCGGCTCCTCCCGGCGCTGTCCCTTGAGCACCGCGGCTGCCTCCATCCAGAGCTCGGGCTCCCTGGGAGCTGCCAGGCAGCACCAGGCTGCCCCGGCCCTTTCCTTCCTTGGGCGCCCCTAATTCCCGACCACTTTAAAGAAGGGAGAGAGGACGAAGATCCCCCATCGAGCTCATGCCTCCGTGCCCCTGCTCTTCCCTGGGGCACTGACTGAACCCTGCCTCTCTCAGGTAACGTCCTTTTATAAAATACAAAGCGCTGCAGAAGCAGAGAGTGTCTGGTTTGCCTAGCACACAGGCAGCCGGAGTGTGACAGCTGTCAAATAGCCTTTACCGTCCCTTGAAAGTTTAGCTACCCTTTCAGTCTTCAGCCTTTCCGCTTTTGATAACACGGGATATTCTTTATCTTATTGTAAAAGGAAGTTTATTACCAATAAAAGGTATTTTTATGAAGGAGAAAAAATAAAATAATATAAAATTAACTGATCGTCCCTGAAAAATACTTTAAGACTGGGGGGGGGGGGAATGATAGAGAAGCTTATTTTGAAATAATAGATACATTTTTGTATGGTTTCCTTTTAAAACTCCTGGTCTGCAGGAGATCACCCCTAGCCCCCTTCTGAACCCCATCTTCAGTGGTAGGTTGGGGCGAGGCAGAGAGAATTCACGCCAGGCTGAACCAGCCCTTATGACAAACGCCAAAGATGTGGCAAATCAAGATGCCACCTGGACGGACATGGACCAGGCCCTTCAAGGTTGATGCTGCGCTCCAGGGCTGATCCTCGTCAAGCCCTGAGAGAGCTGGGCACATGACCAGCCATTTTCAAACACAGCATTTCCCTGCAGAGACATCACCATCCACCCAACAAATCAAAAAGAACAGGAGGACTTGTGGCACCTTAGAGACGAACACATTTATGTGGGTATAAGCTTTTGTGAGCTACAGCTCACTTCATCAGATGCACGCAGTGGAAGTGAGCTGTAGCTCACAAAAGCTTACACTCAAATAAATGTGTTAGTCTCTAAGGTGCCACAAGTCCTCCTGTTCTTTTTGCGGATACAGACTAACCCGGCTGCTCCTCTGAAACCAGACAAATCAAGTTACCTTGATACTAAAATGTGGCTCAGGGCAGCATATTTTAACTGTGCTCTTAAAACCCCCCAAACATTGTAAGCTCAGTTCGTTGAGCTATTTCCTGGAATCTGTTGGCTTGCTGAAACACAATTTGCTGAGGGGAAAAATAAATCCGCAGTCGCAGTTGCATCTGATTTGCTAAAAGGGGTGATATGGATTTGATGTATATACTGTACAGAATGGTGGAAAATAAATATATCTTAATTTGTCATTATTTTGCTAACCAAAGCTGTAAATTTTTCCTATGACTTGCTATCTGCCTTTTGGGTTTGAAAGGGTTAAAATATATCACACAGCCACAATCTACAGCCGCAGTTCAGGAAATGCACTGTTTCTACTGGTATTCATGCTTTTTCATTTTATTGCTGAGATTACATGAATTGTTGAGTTTATTTTTACACAATAAAGAGTGAAGAAAGACACTGGGCTCTCTTTCAAATGTTCTGTGGACTTTCCTGACTAGCCACTGGCCAGGTTTCTTACTGGGGTGACGGGCAGGGCTGGCTTGTTATTTTAGAGGAATTTCTGTCCAGGGCTCCTTGAAGCCTAAGCTAACCTGAGATTTAAACTCCCTCCCTGCTGCCAGGCCTGTCCACTAAGATCAAATAGTACAGGCCACATCTGACCTTTTCTTATACCTTAGCTTTCACAAGTGGTTCAACACTTAGAGCATTGCATCAGTGAGCCCCAGGAAACAAGTCACCTGAGTGTGGGGAAAAGGGACTGGAGAGAACAGTGGGGTGGGCTAGACCACATAAAAGTCATTCAGAAACTTTTGTTAGAATTGAATCTGAAGAAGCCCAGTCACAAAAAAAAAACCCACCCTCCTATAAGATACAGAGCATTCACAGTAAAAGTCCCGTTGCATCTTATACCATTAGTTCATGATGCTACATGTATGTTTTGTACAGCGAAATGTATAAATGGTATGTTCCTATATTAAATGCCTGTAACACTGGATCTGTGTGTCACCCTTCATGCTCAAGCGATCACAAGGCCTTTCATGCTCTTGGGGATGCAGTGCTAATTTTTTTAAAAAGGCTCCAGAGGCATCCTTGCAGTTGCAGACCAGCAAGCCTGACTTCAATATCAGACAAATTGGTTGAAATTATAGTAAAGAACAGAAGTATCAGACAGACAGATGAACATGATGCATTGGGGAAGAGTCAACACAGCTTTTGTAAAAGGAAAAAAAAACACCCCCCACCAGTCTATTAGAATTCTTTGGGAGAGTCAACAAGCAGGTGGACAAAGGTGAGCCAGCTGATACAGCATACTTGGCCTTTCAGAAGCCTTTGACACCAAACCTTCTTAGCAAACTAATCAGTCAAGGGACAAGAGGGAAAGTCATCTCATGGATACGTAACTGGTTAAAAGATGGGAAACAAAGGGTAGGAACCAATGGTCAGTTTTCAGAATGGAGAGATATAAATAGCAGGGACCCCCAGGGGTCTGTACTGGGCCCCAGTACTGTTAAACATATTCATAAATAATCTGGAAAAAGGAGTAAACAGTGAGGTAGCAAAGTTTGAAGATGATACATAATTACTCAAGATGCTTAAGTCCAAAGCTGACTGTGAAGAGTTTCATAGATTCATAGATACTAAGGTCAGAAGGGACCATTATGATCATCTAGTCTGACCTCCTGCACAATGCAGGCCACAGAATCTCACCCACCCACTCCTGCGAAAAGCCTCTCACCTATGTCTGAGCTATTGAAGTCCTCAAATTGTGGTTTAAAGACTTCAAGGAGCAGAGAATCCTCCAGCAAGTGACCCGCGCCCCTTGCTACAGAGGAAGGCGAAAAACCTCCAGGGCCTCTTCCAATCTGCCCTGGAGGAAAATTCCTTCCTGACCCCAAATATGGCGATCAGCCAAACCCTGAGGATTTGGGCAAGATTCACCAGCCAGATACCCAGGAAAGAATTCTCTGTAGTAACTCAGATCCCACCCCATCTAACATCCCATCACAGGCCATTGGGTTACAAAGAGATCTCGCTAAACTGGGTGACTAGGCAACAAAATGGCAGATGACATTCTGTGTTGATAAGTGCAAAGTAGTGCCCATGGAAAAAACACATTCCCAACTATACAAATGATGGGATCTAAATTATTGTTTATCACTCAAGAACAATATCTTGGAGTCGTCATGAGCAGATCTTTTCAAAGAACTATCCAATGTGCAGCAGCAGTCAAAAAAGCCAAAAGAATGTTGGGAACCATTAGGAAAGAGATAGCTAGTAAGACAGAAAATATCACAATGCCATTACATAAATCTCTGGTGTGCCCACACTTTAAATACTATACACAGTTCCGGTCACCCCATCTCAAAAATGAATATTAGAACTGGAGAAGGTGAACAAAATTGATTAGAGGTATGGAACAGCTCCCATATGAGGAGAGATTAACATTATTTTCTCCACACTACTTATGATTTTATAAACTTCTGTCATATCCCCCTTAGTTTTCTCTTTTCAAGGCTGAACAGTCCCAATCTGGTTATTTACCCTTCACATAACACAAGAACCAGGGGTCACCAAATTAAATTAACAGGCAGCAGATTTAAAACAAATATAAGGAAGTAAGTCTTCATGGAACGCCCAGTCACCCTGTGGAACTCATTGCCAGGGGATGTTGTAAAGTCCAAAAGTATAACAGGGTTAAAAAAACAATTAGATAAGTTTATGGAGGATAGGTCCATCAATGGCTATTAGCCAAGATGGTCAGGGGTGTAACCTCATGCTCCGGGTGTCCCTAAACCTCTGACTGCCAGAAGCTGGGACTGGACAATAGATCCCTCAATAATTGCCCTATTCTGTTCATTCCTTCTGAAGCATCGGCCATTGTTGGAGGACAGGATACGGAGTTAGATGTATTATTCATCTGACCCAGTATAGCCATTCTTATTGTCTGTGTTGGCAAATGTAGAAGCCATGGTGTGCTCACCTATTGGTGCCTGGGACATTAGACTCTGTTTTAGTGAGGAATGGGATTTTGGCCAAAACAAGTGGGTTATCCCAACACTTCTCAATGGGCCCTGGAAGCTCTAAATTCCACATGCTCAGACGGTAGAGATGGGCAGAAGGGACCGAGGTGAAACATCTTCTCTGAAGCTGTACACGAGAGTAGGAGAGAGTTCCATTCTTTCAAATCTTTCTCCATGTCAGGCAACAATGTCATGGTGCAAAGCCATAGAAATTTTCCTCTGGGTTTTACTCACCAAGAGTAAGATTCATGTTAAAAGTTGAACCTCCTCCATGTCCCCTGACTGGACTGACCTATCTGTGATTGGGAACATGGTGACAGACCACATATTGTCATGTCTGATGGCTGTTAGCTTCCCGCAGGGCCATCATTGTTTCTCAGCACTCACCTGGTCCCAGTCAACATAGGATCTGAGTGTCTCCCAAAAGTAAAAAGAATAAAATATCTTCCTTCCTTCCCTGCCGGCAAGAGCCAGGTTTGGTGCGTATTTGTTTGCTCATTAAAATATGGGTTATGAATGCGAGAGTGACAGTGCATCACCACTGAGGGAAAGCTTGAGGTGGATTTTGTATTTGGCTCCGAGGGCAGAGATGACCATTCTCATTTCTTTTGTCAATGAACACTGGCAGCAGTGATGTGCGTATTGCATGCAATGTCACTGACAAAGTTTTGCCCATCAAAAGGCAGGTTATATTTTTGGTAGATAATTGCTAGAAATATCCACTGGTTACTAGATCTGTCGATTAATTGCAGTTAACTCACATGATTAACTAAAAAAAAATGAATGGTGATTAACACACTGTTAAACAATAGAATACCAATTGAAATTTATTAAATGTTTTGGATGTTTTTCTACATTTTTCAGATATATTGATTTCTATTACAACACAAAATACGAAGAGTACAGTGCTCACTTTATTTTTATTACAAATATTTGCTCTGTAAAAATGATAAACAAAAGAAATAGTATTTTTCAATTCACCTTGCACAAGTACTGAAGTGCAATCTCTTTGTCCTGAAAGTATAACTTACAAATGTAGATTTTTTGTTACATAACTGCACTCAAAAACAATGTAAAACTTTAGAGCCTTCAAGTCCACTCAGTCCTACTTCTTGTTTGGCCAGTTGCTCAGACAAACAAGTCTGGTTACAATATGCAGCCAAATTGTCCAGTCCTCTGGAATACTGGTTGACGCATTAAGGGACATATGAATCTTTAGTGCATCTGGCATGTAATTATCTTGCAATGCTGGTTACAACAATGACATGCAAATGCCTGTTCTCACTTTCAGGTGACATTGTAAACAAGAAGCGGGGCAGCTTTATCTCCTGCAAATTGTAACCAAACTTGCTTGTCTGAGTGATTGGCTGAAGAAGAAGTAGGACTGAGTGGACTTGTAGGCTCTAAAGTTTTATATTGTTTTTGTTTGTAAATGCAGGGGGTTTTTTGTACATAATTCCACATTTGTAAGTTACACTTTCATGATAGAGAGATTGCACTACAGTACTTGTATGAGGTGAATTGAAAAATACTATTTCTTTTATTTTTACAGTGCAAATATTTAATCAAAAATATAAAGTGAGCACTGTACACTTTGTATTCTGTGTTGTAATTGAAATCAATAGATTTGAAAATGTAGAAATCATCCAAAACTATTCAAATAAATGGTATTCTATTATGGTTTAACAGTGCAATTAATCACAATTAATTTTTTTAATTGCTTGACAGCCCTACTGGTTACATATCCACCTTACAATGGACTCTCTGATGAAGTGAGCTGTAGCTCACGAAAGCTCATGCTCAAATAAATTGGTTCGTCTCTAAGGTGCCACAAGTCCTCCTTTTCTTCTCTGGATAAGTTGCTTTTAACATGTAGATTCTTAAAAACCAAGAACTGTTTACTGGCTACAGCTGGGCCTCAGAAGCGTCTGCAATTCCAAGCCCATTCCTCTCCAGCTGGGAAGGAAAACCTGAGAAACATCTCTCCTGAGTCGCAGTACTAGCCAGTGCTCTACATTACCATTGGAGAGACCAGAACTTCTCTTCTGTTCAGTCAGGGGCTATGCGCGCTTTGGCTGAACACCCGCAGCTCCTGCTGGAGACGAGCCTCGTATTGGTCAGCAGGAAGCGCTCTGGCTGAGTGAGGAGTGGCAGCAGTGTAAGGCAGTCCCAGCCAGACCTCAGCCGGAATGGAGGGAGAAAGAAGATTTCAAAGCTAGGGCAAAGGTGCGAGTGCCCAATCTGAATGTCCTAACAATCCCCAGCTCAGTAAGACAGGAACAAAAGCAAAGGAGGGGGCATGAGTGAGGGAAAGGCAGGTCAGGTAGCAAGATATAGGGTCCCAGAGTTTGGTAGCAAGATCATAGTCCCAAGTTTCTCTGGTGCTGCAGAGCACCCTGGGGCACTGCCGAGCTGCAGCCTGCTCCATCCCAGGTGGCAGGGTTTGGGAAAAGCTGTATCCACAGCCACTTTACAGGCTCTGCGAAGGACATCCCTAAACATTTAGCTTCCCTCTCCCTCATGTCCTTCTGCCTTCTGGTTGTCAGGGAAACCACGTCCTTTGGAAAGGGCTCTCATCCATCCAGAGCATGTGAACCTGCCATAAAAGCCTTTTCTCCCCAGGAGGGTTTGATACCTTGATCTACCCTGTTCCTTCTAGGATTGTGTCAAATAAAAAAAAAATAAAAATCCTTGAAGCAGGGGGAGGGTGCCTCAAACTGGATTGCTGGCTTGATTTTGTTCTAGGGGAACCAGAGTATATGTCTAGCCTGAGGATTATTCTACAAGAGGCAATAAAGGCCTGAAGCATGAGCAGCCAGCCATGGCTGGAACAGATGCAGATGCTAGCATTTGGTACCCTGGGCAGGGAATGGGTAGCCTTAAGAATCCTCCAGCGGCAAAGGTACGGCAATACAGTATATCAAACCTGTTTCAGGGTAATTTGCTCAGCCCCCAGGGGACAAGCAGGAAGT